GGATTTACTGGTTTTGCTAGTTAATGAGGATGGAGCAGCATAAAGCCACACATGTAAACGGTCATGATTATGCCACAGTTAATATTATTTTTCTCAGTATCCTTGACAAGGAGGCATAGGTGAGAACTCTCCTCAGTGACACTATCTAGATGCGGATCTATTTGATGGCTGATGACTGTTCTAACACATTGTAAATTGTGGCTTTTGTAGAGGTTGATAATAGATACTTATGAATTTAACTCTTTCGTCCCTACATTAAACATGAGAGTATGACTCAACCCAAAGGTGTAACTCCTTTAACTTTCTTACTCACATATGAAGATATGGCATGTGTTAATGTTCAAATGGGAGTATGAAAATATATGAAGGCATATTGTCTATTTTTTTGTTTTTTTGTTTTTGTTTTTTATGTGTTAGCGTAATGCTTTTTATGAACTGTAACTTTTTGGTTTACTTTGTAATTAAGTATCGAATTAGGAATATATATGACTCTACATGGTGGATAACCCTCACTTGACTTTATTTATAGCGATATCAAGATATGGCAAATGTTGATGTTTACAGAAGGAGAATATTAAACTTTACAGAGAGATGTGTCCTGTAACAATTAGCTTGCATGGTGACCTTGCCCCCTTCCTAGACACGCAGCAGCACCATCAATGTTGTAGGATAGACATCGATAGCAAGTTAACCATTTTCTTTTGTACTCTATAGTTTTTAATCACACACTCCTATTGTCAAACAGATTTTAAAATTATACAGCCAACATTATAGGGACATAAAGTAGTAGAGTTTAGATTACATAACAGAATATAGAGAAGTATTGTATGAATAATGAGAAAAGCAGGAATTAATCACCAGTATGCTTGGTGGCAACAGGAAAGTGAACAAGGTATAGATCCAGATAATCCAACTGAAGTTTCTTCAGACTGTCTTTACAGGCCTCTACAACATGTCCATGATCTGAATTCCAAAGCTGCAAAAAGGATGAAGAAATGGGGAGAGAAAAAAAATTTCATCATAGTCTAGAATGCATAATATGCACTACTCGAGCAGAAAAAGAAAACTCTTGATTGAAAATTAAACGGGCCTTGGTGGTGATGAAGAGATCCTCTCGCTTAACAATCCCAGTCGAAAATGCTCCTGCAAGTGCCTCCCCTACTTCTGCTTCATTTTTGTAATCAGCTGAAAGCAACATTAACTTGTTCACGTATGTTACAGCCCAATGGGTAATTTGTGCTACTACCTACAACTAAGTTACCACCATAGAGGGCCAGACAGGAAAAAGAAAAATATAGAGGGATGAGAGAGATTAAGCTGGTAACTACATGTATCACATTTTTAAGTGCAAAGTCAACTTTGGAATCTAGTGGACTTGAGGATACTATAGATTGGTTGAATGCAAAACAAGGTTAGAATGCTTCACAATTTCCTTTTTAACCAAGCTCAAGCTCAAGGGCCCTGAGGTCGGGCAAATGAGTAGAACCTAGATTCAAATGTTGTTGTAAACAGGAAAAAATACCAAACCAAACCAAACCAAAAACCAGATAATAAGCTATTTCATACTCATGGCATTCAGTGGTGTCAAAATGCCAGTAGAAGAGGTGTGATACATTTCAGACACAAATTGGTAACTGGCAATCACCCTGGAAAAGAGAGGATATTTTGGGTTCAAACTGTCAAATTGTTGTGCTGTGTGCTTGCAACTAAATAAATTTATGGTTTCAATTTTACTATAATTTATAAACCTATCACCCATGGAACCTATATTTTATAAAACCCTCTTCAAACGCTCCAATTAAGCCATTTTCAACAAACTAAATTAAACCCACACTCCCCTTCCTCCACCCATATGAACAGCAAATAGTAAACTTGTACATGAAATAAGCAGAGAAACATATCAGAGAAAACATCGAGATTGACGATTGAGGAGAAAATGAAATACCAGCGCAATCAAAATGGCGGTAACCAATGTTGATGGCATTGATAATGAGGTCTCTGATTTCTTTTCCTTCCATGCGCCAAACACCAAGGCCGACTGCTGGCATTTTGAACCCATTGTTCAGTGTTATTGCCATTTTTCTTTGGACCCTTCAAAACCAGACTCACTCTACTGTGTCCTACTGGAGCTCACGACGCCAACACAGCTGCTTCGCCCTAAATCTATTGGCGTTGTCTCTGGGCAGTGGGCATTATCTATATATATAAAGCAAAAGGCAGAAAATGGTGAAACATTCAAAATACCATAAAATGACCTGGTTAATGCAAACATTAAGAATTAAAATTATTAATTAAATGAGGATAATATGGTAAATTCACACTTTTTTATATTTAAAAAAATTAAAATTAAAAGAAAAATTAAATAATGACCTATTTTTATGGAACACAACTACCCATTATCTTTTTTA